TTTTCCTGGTCTCCCATGGGGTGCAGGGCCCAAGCACCTGGGCCATCCTCCACTGCACTCCCTGGCCACAGCAGAGAGCTGGCCTGGAAGAGGGGCAACCGGGCCAGAATCCGGCGCCCTGACCGGGACTAGAACCCGGTGTGCCGGCGCCCCTAGGCGGAGGATTAGCCTAGTGAGCCGTGGCACCGGCCCCATTCTGTTTCTTAACCCTGACATTTCAAAGAACACAGGCTAGGTGTTTTTTTTTTTTTTTTTTTTTTTTTGGGCACACTATCCTGCAAATTGGGTGTATCTGATGTTTCCTTGTGATTGGATTCAGATTATGCCCTTTAGGGTAGCGTTATCATTGGCACTGCCCGAGTATCCTTTCTGAGGCACAAAATAACAGCTTTTTTTCCCATCTTGATGAGAATACTGTTGATCATTTGATAAATAAGGTGTTACCTGCCAGGTTTCTCCACCATTTCTCCTCCTTGAAATTAATAACTAATTGCAGAGAAGGGTTTAAGACTTTGTAAGTAATATTGTTCTTTCCTAAAATATCACCCATTAGGTTTGGTACCCACTGCTGATTTTTAACCTCTGATATTCTATATTGATGAGTTGGGGTTTTATTGTAACAAATTCTTTTCCTTCTCTTTTGTTGATTTCTTTAGGTGCAAATTGATTGATTACTTTTTGTTTTATTCAGTGGATTATAATTCATTACTGACATGAGTTATTTTAATATTTGGCCATATTTGGCCAGTAGTAGCTCCTTCACACTAGCTCCATTATCTTAAGATAGTTCCATGAATCGTTCAGCCTTTGCTTTACGTTCTTTTAGGCTACCATAATGCCCCTAGCTCATTTGCTACTCAACCTTTGCTTCAACCTTGGAGTGAGCATTTCTCTAAGTCTTGGTTGCTTTAGAGGGGAAGGGTACTTTAGGAACCAAGATTTGAGTGCAGTGAGTGTTCAATGCTACTGAGGGGTTATTGCTCCCAGGCCCTGATTTTTTTTTTACATTTAACACTATTGTTTATTCAGTTCCTATGTACACTTTTCTATCTCCTGGTCCTTATTTTGCAGATTTCAAAAATGTGTTATTTCATCTAATGTTAATTTGTTCAGCTTTTTGTTCTACTTTCAGGAAGGTGCAGTTGTTGAAATTTTTATTCGCTTAGATTGAGAAAAGGGAGATGAAAATAGATGCGGCATTTATGGCTTTTCTCCTATCATCTTGTTTAATTTTTTATTAAATATAGTATAGTCTAAAAAATTCCCGAGTTTTCAAGTAAGTGCAGTTACATTTTAATAATTCCTGACATGCCTGAGCACCTGCTGTGTGCCAATAAGCACAAAAGAGCTGTCTCTCTGGGTTTTTGGTTGGTTTTTCTAGCTTCTTTCTTTCTTTCTTTGTTTTGTTTTGTTTCAAATTCTGACTTTGTCATTTACCAGCTTTGTGCCCTTAGGCAAGTTTCTCAACTGAGTCTCAGTTTACTCTTTTGTAAGAAGGAAGTAATAGTAGTGACAATTCTATGTACTTGTTTTGAAGGTTCAAGATATTCATCATAAATTTAGAATAGTGTCTAGCAAATGGTACATGGAAAAATACTAGTGCTCATTACCAACATGAGATTGTGTTCTTAGCTCAATTGATCCTTCTCAGCAATCCTGCAAAGCAGAGATAATCAGTCCATTTTACTGATTAACTGTGTCCTGCACAAGTGAAATATCATTTACCTGTGATCACAGAAACTGCTAAATTTAGCAGAGTGGGGATTCAAACTGAGGTCTCTGCTGCAGAAGGTCTGACAAAGAAGGTATCTCCTTCTCTGAGAAAATGGAAAGCACTGTAGCAGTCAGGACCTAAAAGGGCACAGGACAGCAGTCACTGTGGAGTCTACTGCTTGCATGTGTTCTCACTGTGCTGTTTTCACTAGGCACCAGAATCCTGAGAGTGCTGTTGCTGTTTTCACCAGAATCCTGGTGTTCTGTATTCATGGCTTTTGGAAATGCTTTTTCAGTTGCTGATTCCAAATTGAAGGAATATTCTGGAGCGGGGGTGAAAAAAACTTAGCTGTAAAAGGGATTTCAGTTGTTTAAAAAAAAAAAAAACTGGTTACACTGATTTTTTAAATATGTACTATAATAATATTCCTCTAAATACAGTAGAAGTAACTAGTGTTTTAGCTTTTCATTTACTAAATATTATAATTTTTTCACCATTGAATATTCATTTTAAATTCTCAGTTTCAAACCTATTTGATTTTAGTGCTAACTTTTATGTCAAACCATCTAACATTTTAAAAAATTATGTGCTACAAACAGGCTTCCTTTTAAAAATTTCTTCATTAAATATACACTTGGAAACCAACATAAAATTTTGTGCAGAATACTGGTTGAGGCCGGCGCTGCAGCTCACTAGGCTAATCCTCTGCCTGCGGCGCCGGCACCCTGGGTTCTAGTCCCGGTTGGGGCTCCGGTCCTGTCCCAGTTGCTCCTTTTCCAGTCCAGCTCTCTGCTGTTGCCCGGGACTGCAGTGGAGGATGGCCCAGGTCCTTGGGCCCTGCACCTGCATGGGAGACCAGGAGGAAGTTCCTGGCTCCTGGCTCCTGGCTTTGGATCGGCACAGTGTGCCGGCCGTAGCGGCCATTGGAGTTTGAACCAATAGAAAAGGAAGACCTTTCTCTCTGTCTCTCTCTCTCTCTCACTGTCTAACTCTGCCTGTCAAAAAATAAAAATAAAAAATAAAAAAAAAATACCGGTTGAAAGTACTATCTTGCAAATGAAATGAAAAGTAAAAGAATAAAAATAAACTAAAAAAGTAGGAAAAAAAGAAAGCCAATTCAGACTCCAGGCTGTGATCAGCCTTAGCCCTAGAAGATATTGTTAGCTAATGTTCTGTATATGCTGTATATGCGCCAAATAGCCTTGCCTCTGAGGAATTTTTAATTTGAAAAGAAGCCAGAGGATAGCACAATGCTGTCCTGTGGTTCAGAGACTGTGACAATGTGATGCTATATTTTGCAAGTGATGTGGCAGGACCCTTTTTTGATTTTTCATGAGTTTCAGTGAACTAGTTTTTGTTGGACAATCTTACAAGCTAAGAGTAACTATTAAGTGCCTGGTGCTACATCGGAAATAATGATTCATATGTTTTGATTATTTTTATTTATTTATTTATTTATTTGAAATGCAGCGTGAGACAGAGATCTTCCCTATGTTGATTCATTCTCCAGATGCCCACAATAGCTAGTTTTGGGCCAGGCCAAAGCCAGGAGCCTAGAACTGAAACCATGTCTCCTCCGTGGGTGCCAGGTACACAACTACTTGAGCCATCATCTGCGATCTTCTAACATTTAAATTATAGGAAGTTGTATATGAAGTGGAGCCAAAACTCAAACACAGAGCCTCTGATGTGGGGTTTATGTATCCCAAGCAGTGACTTGACCACTGTGCCAGACCACAACCTTCTTTGATTATTTTAAAAAGTAATGTATTTTGATACAGAAAAAGTTGACTACTGTAGATAATCAGGCAATATTGTTCTGCTTAGCTCTGGCTTTCCAAAATGTGCAAATCTCTTTTCTTTTAATTGATGTATTCCTGTTATTTTAATTTAATTTAACACATGTCCTGGGTCTAAGAAAAGTAAAAGAATGAGAGTTTTTGATATTCATATACATTAAAAACTGTGGCAGCTTACTTACATGTTACCTGTCGCTTGAATATCCATGGCAAATATCTTGTGTATATTGCTGCTATTGCTGGAATCAATCTCTCTCTCCATCTCTCCCTCTCTCTCTCTCTCTATGGGGTCAGGGAACAAGTTGACAGTATAGTGGGAAGAGACTTGATACCAGTGTCCAGAGTTGGTATTCAAAGAATATTTTCAAATGGAAATGGTGTTCAAATGGTAACTGGATATCTATGCTAGACCCAAATCTAATTAACTCAAATATTAAAAATTTACTAATGCTTTATTTTTCCCATTTTATTGTGAACATATAGTGGTTAATCAATAAAAGATAGATGGTGGACTTTCTAAGTGCCTGTAAACTAACATAATACTAACTTAATTAGTATTTTGGAACCTTCTGCCTACACTCTAACTTTACTCTCCTGAGATTCTTTTGGTTCAAAGTGAGAAGCATCTTTGACTTTAGAAAGTAAATTTAGGAGCCAGTGTTGTGGCACAGCAAACCGAGCTGCTGCTCGTGAGGCCGGCGTTCTGTCTCGCAGTGCTGGTTTGAGTCATGACCGCTCTGCTTCTCTTCAGCTCTCTGCTAATGCTCCTGAGAAAGTAGCAGAAGGTGGCCCAAGTACTTAGGCCCCTGCCACTCATGTGGGAAACCCAGATGGAGTTCTAGGCTCCTGACTTTGCCCTGGCCCAGCCCTAACTATTGCAGCCATTTGGGAAATGAACCAGCATATAGAAGATCTCTCTGACTCTGTCCTTCTCTCTCTCTCTCTCTCTCTCTCTCTCTCTCTCTCTCTGTGTGTGTGTGTGTGTGTGTGTGTGTATTTGACTCTCCCTTTCAAATAAAGAAATCTTTTTTAAAAAAATCTTCAGGGGGCTGGTATTTGGAGCCGTGGTTAAGATGCCACTTGGGTTGCTAGCATCACGTATTGGAAATCCTGGGTTGAATTCCAGCTCCTCTTCTGATTCTGGCTTCCTGCTGATTTACACTATGGGAGGCAGCAGATCATGGCTCGGGTATTTTGATCCCTGACACCCATATGGGCTACCAGATTTGAATTCTGGGTTTCTGGCTTCTGCTTGGCCCAACCCTGGCCATTGCAGGCATATGGGGAGTGAACCAGCAGGTGGAAGATCTGTTTCTGTCTCTATCTCTGCCTTTCAACTGAAATGAAACTAATAATTTTTTTTAAAAAAGTAACTTTAGCTTAGGTGAAATGTTGTTACTTTCTCTTTCATATTGAGCTTTCTCCTCCTAAGTCTTTCAATGCACACTTTTCATGGAAACTTCTTTGTCCGAGCCACTGATTTGTTATCCCTTGCCAACATCAGTCCTGATGCTGAGTTTGCAGTGCAGTTGTCAATTGAAGAAAGTTTGACAGATACTTCCTTAGTGTGCTTTCAAACAGCCCTATTGTATACATCAAGCAAAGGTAATGTTAACAGAAATGAAATATAGCCTGCACAGGAATAGACACACACTCTTTCGGGTGTGGAAAAAAATGAATGCACAGTACCAAGTAATGGCATTTGCATTAATCAAATATAAGTTCTGCTAGTTTCTTCTGTCCTTTCTTAATGCTCACTTTTGAGTCTTTAGTAACATACTTTTTTCATTTGTAGAAGACTTGCATTCTCTAGGATCAATTATTTCTGGTTGAAACTTGTGGTAAATCCAGCTGCGCCATCCTTTGCAATATTTCTTGCTCCCTATAAAATAGAAAACTATAGCAATTCAGGTCTTCATCTGCTATTTGACAGTCTAAAATGTCTGTTGGGTATAATTATTATGAAATTAAAATAAAAACTAGAACCTAATGCCCAGCTAGAAATGAAATACAGTATAGATTCATCATGTGTCTTCAGATATTGAGAGAGTTCATTTTTCTTTAAAACATATTAGTTGTAAACTTTTTTACATTTCAAAATCCTGTGGGTGAACTCATCTAGTCAGAATAACTTGAGTAAAATTTTGATCTGTTCTTTTTGTCCCTCTCTTGGTTTAATATATTGTGCAGTGGCATCTGTTCATCATTTTGTTTAGGTGAGCAGAGAATTAGAGTGCATATGCTTTGTTTGCCAGTGGTAAGTTCACTAGCAGATGTATATGCAGGAGTGGATGTTCAAGCTGCCATCTGCCTTCTAGCAAATATGGGTGAGTAAAACATAACGGAACAGGTGAAATAAATTTTTCTGTCCTAAAAACTGAAACACAGCTGATTTTTTCATCCTATAAACTCCTTATTTAAAAAGTATGTTTTACCGAGTACTCAAACAGTATATTTCACTTTGTGTTTCTATGGGGGTGCAAACTGTTGAAATCTTTACTTAATGTACACTAAACTGATCTTCTGTTAAAAAAAAAAAAAAAAAGAAACTATCAATTCCCAACTTGACTCTCACTGGGATTAAACATGACAATAGGTCTGATCTGATTTCATCATCATTTAAAAAAAAATCATCTATTATTTTTCACTTTATGTTTCTGTGTGGGAACAAACTGTTGAAATCCTTACTTAAGGTATACTAAGCTGATCTTCTGTATACTAAGATAATCGAAAATGAATCTTGATGTGAATGGAAGGGGAGAGGGAGTGGGAAAGGGGAGGGTGGTGGGTGGGAGGGACGGTATGGGGGGGAAAGCCATTGTAACCCATGAGACGTACTTTGGAAATTTATATTCATTAAATAAAAGATAAAAAAAAAAAAGTATGTTTTACATTTTCCTTTTAATGTTATGAATTAAGCTGTTCTCTTTTTTAAAAAAAATTATTTATTTATTTGAGAGGCCAAGTTACAGAGAAGTCTTCCTTCCACTGGTTCAATCCCCAAATGGCTGCAACTGCTGGAGCTGGGTCGAGCTGAAGCCAGGAGCCAGGAGCTTCTTTCTGGTCTCCCACATGGATGCAGGGGCCCAACCATGTGGGCCATCTTCCATTTATTTCCCAGGCTGTTAGCAGGGAGCTGGATGGGAAGTGGGGCAGCCAAGACTAGAAACAGTGCCCCTGTGGGTTACCAGTGCTACAGGCCAAGGCTTAGCCCACAATGCCACGGCACCAGTCCCCTAAACTGTTCTTATATTTTATGTTCATTCTTAATGTAAAAATCTTTTAGGGGATTCAGAATAATTGAAAACTGGTGAAAACCTGATGGACTCGACTAATGAGAGTATTTTTTAGCCATAGAATGGAATACTCAGCAATGAAAAGAAATGAACCAGGGAAGAGCATTTGATATTGTGGTTAAGATGCTTGCATCCTGAGCCGGTGCCGCAGCTCACTAGGCTAATCATCCGCCTTGCAGCACCAGCACACCAGGTTCTAGTCCCAATTGGGGCACCGGATTCTGTCCCAGTTGCCCCTCTTCCAGGCCAGCTCTCTGCTGTAGCCAGGGAATGCAGTGGAGGATGGCCCAAGTGCTTGGGCCCTGCACCCCATGGGAGACCAGGAGAAGCACCTGGCTCCTGCCATTGGATCAGCGCGGTGTGCCGGTGGCAGCGTGCCAGCCGTGGCGGCCATTGGAGGGTGAACCAACGGCAAAGGAAGACCTTTCTCTCTGTCTCTCTCACTGTCCACTCTGCCTGTCAAAAAAAAAAAAAAAAAAAAAACCGCCTGCATCCCACATTGGAACACCTGGCTCCAGTTTCTGACTCTGCCTGCCTGCTAATACAGATGCTGGGAGGCAGCAGTGATGGCCTAAGTCATTGCGTACCTGCCACTTAGGTGGAAGACTCAGTGAGTTTCTGGCTCCTGCTTGGGCCCTGGCCCACCCTGTCTGTTGTGTGCATTTGCAGAGTAAAGCAGCATATGGGAGCTCTTTGTCTCTGTTTTTCGCCTGTTACTAATACATTTATTTAATTAGTTCATTATTAGATTTATTTATTTGAAGGGGAGAGTGACAGAGGCAGAGAGACTGAGCAGGAGATCATCCATCTGCTGTTTTACTTCCCAAATGGCCGCCACAGCCAGGGCTGGTCTGCACTGAAGCCAGGAGCCCAAAGCTACTTCCAGATCTGCCACATGGGTAGTAGGAGTCCAAGTACCTGGGTCATCTGCTGCTGCTTTATTTCCCAGGCACATTAGTAGGTAGCTGCAGGGAAGCAGAGCAGTCAGAACTGAAACCAGCACTCCAGTATTGGACGTTGGCACTGTAGGCAGCAGCTTAGCTTGTTGTGCCACAGTGCCAGCCCCTCAAGCAATATTTTTATTTTTATTTTTTGACAGGCAGAGTAAGACAGTGAGAGAGAGACAGAGACAGAGAGACAGAGAGAAAGGTCTTCCTTTTTCCGTTGGTTCATCCCCCAAATGGCCGCTATGGCCGGCGCACTGGGCCGAACCAAAGCCAGGAGCCAGGTGCTTCCTCCTGGCCTCCTATGCAGGTGCAGGGTGCAACCACCTGGGCCATTCTCCACTGCCCTCCTGGGCCACAGCAGAGAGCTGGGCTGGAAGAGGAGCAACCGGGACAGAATCCGGCACCCCAACCGGGACTAGAACCCAGGGTGCTGGCGCTGCAGCAGGTGGAGAATTAGCCAAGTGAGCCGCAGCACCCACCTCAAGCAATATTTTTTAAAACAAGAATGAACTATCAATATCTAAACATGGATGACTCTCAAAGGCATTGTGCTAAGTGTAAAGAAGCAGTACTCTCCAAGGACTATGTATATATGATACCATTTATCTAACATTCAGGAAACGAGACGATTGGACGGAGATTATGTTAGTGATTTCCAGGGTTGGGGACATGGGGAGGGTTTTGCTGTGAAGAGGCACTACAGGGGGATATTTTTGGGGTGATGAAACTGTTGTGTATCTTGATGGTAGTAATTACATGGCTATGCATTTTACGTATAACCACCATGGAACTGTAGTCAAAAACGTGTCACTATATGCAAGATAGAAAAATCCTTTGGAAAGTTAATACTTAACAACACTGAGTGTTTTGTTTTTAATGAATTTACCTTATATATGAATTTAGACATGAACGAAGTAAAATTTTTCCCAAGTAGTCCTGGAGAAAAACAGCAATTAAATCTAGATTTTGAATTATACCATAACTGATTATTTTAGTACTGGATTTTTATATAGATTGTCTCTGTTTTAATAAGAGGATTTTAGAGAAAAATAATTTTCCCATTGATACCTATTTCTTCAATGACTGCATGAAAACCTGTGTTCTTCAGTTTGCTCTTTTTTTTTTTTTAATTGGTTTTGATTTCTTTGGCCGAGGAACAGATGGAGAGGGAGAGGCAGACAAAGAGATGCTGCATCCACTTAATCTCTCTTTAAATGGCTGCAAAAGCCAGGTGTGGGCCAGGTGGCAACCAGAAGCCAGAACTCCACCCTGGTCTCCTATGTGGTTGGCAGAGGCCCAAATACTTGGGTCATCTTCCTGTGCTTTTCAAGGCACATAGGCAGGAAGCTAGATCAGAAGTGGCAAATCCAGGACTTGAACTGGCACTTTGATATAGAATGCCAGGACTGCAAATGATGGCTTTACTTGTGATACCACAATGTCAGCCCCATGTTCTCATGTTTTATTTGTTGATCTGGATTGCTTTGTAAAGAAAATTTAGAGAATCACAAGGGATAACTTAGGTTGGAGAATGTACATTGATTGTGATTATTCAATGATGTATTTATTATACATGTGATTTCCATTTGAGTAATAGAAACATCCCCAGGGCTTTCTCAGAAGTATATGAATCTACCCTTAATATGAATAGTGGCTAACTGGTTTTATGCTTAACAGATTAAATCAAAAAGACTCTGAAAGAATCTAAACTTACTGTGATTTTCAGATTTACTCAGATTTGGTTTAGAAAAATGGGGCCAGCACTGTGACACAGTGGGTTAAAGCCGCAGTCTGCAGTGCCGGCATTCCATATGGGTGCCGGTTTGAGTCCTGGCTGCTCCTGTTCTGATCCAGCTCTCTGCTATGGCCTGGGAAAGCAGTAGAAGGTGGCCCAAGCCCTTGAGCCGCTGCATCCAGGTGGGAGACCAGGAGGAAGCTCCTGGCTCCTGGCTTCGGATAAGCTCAGCTTTGGCCATTGTGGTCATTTGGGGAGTGAATCAGGAATGGAAGACTTCTTTCTCTCTCTGCCTCTCCTCTTTCTGTGTAACTCTGACTTTCAAATAAATAAAATAATACTTCAAATGAGGGAGCAGACGACTTATTAAATAATGCATATTCTGTCTTTTACAGAGCTTATTGGAATGTGATATTTAAACCTTTGTCCATTTTCATTCCTTTACAGCTGTGGATCGATCAGTGTCATCAAGTCTGTCAGATGCAAGAGACGCCTTAGTGAATGCAGTAGTGGATTCGTTGTCTGCATATGGCTCAATTGTTTCAAATTTTCAGCACTCTGCACTGATTGCACCCAACTTCCTCAAATTGTTTCCACTCTATGTTTTGGTACTTCTCAAACAGGTAGCTCTGTTATATTTGATAAAGATTTTCTGTCTCAGATACATATGTTAAATAAAATCTGTATTTCTATTGTTTAATACTAAAGGATAATGGACTTTAGCATTGGAAGTTTTGAAGAGTAGCCAAAAAATTCAGTGGAAAATGATTGTATATGGGTATACAGTGACCTCGTGAAACCATATCCTCTGCCTCTTTAACATATGTGAGCAGTTTGAATAATGTTACGGTCATACCCACTTGTGTTTTTTTTATTTTTTTATTTTTTGACAGGCAGAGTAAGACAGTGAGAGAAAGAGAGAGAGTGTGTGTGTGTTATAGACAGTGAGAGAGAGACAGAGAGAAAGGTTTTCCTTCCGTTGGTTCACTCCCCTAATGGCCGTGCCACTATAGCCGGTGCTGTGCCGATCCAAAGCCTGGAGCCGGGTGCTTCCTCCCGGTCTCCCATGCGGGTGCAGGGACCCAAGCACTTGGGCCATCCTCCGCTGCCCTCCTGTGCCACAGCAGAGAGCTGGACTGGAAGAGGAGCAACTGGGACTAGTACCTGGCGCCCCAACCAGGACTAGAACCCGGGGTGCCAGCACCATGGGTGGAGGATTAGCCAAGTGAGCCATCATAACCCACTTGTGCCATTTGCTTCTGGAGAGAGGCACTAAGAAAAGGATCTAACATTTACAGAGCATCCTTCTTTTGTCTCGGGCACTTTTAATACATACTCTTAGTTAATCCTTACAGCCACCTAGAGAGGTGAGCATTATTATCTTGTTCTTCTGATGATTTCAGAGCTAAGAATAGTATCCAAGTCTGTCTGATGTGAAGGACATGCTTTTCCCATGATTAATGGTACTTATTTTAATATTTTCCCACTATGTTTTTGTTTTACTTGAAAACATGTCTTTTTCCTTGCAGAAAGCCTTTAGAACATGTACAAGCACACGCCTAGATGATCGTGTGTATGCCATGTGTCAGATAAAGTCTCAGCCACTTGTTCATCTAATGAAAATGATTCATCCCAACTTATACAGGATAGACAGATTGACAGATGAGGTATGCATTTCAGTGTGCATTTGAAAAATTTGAACGTGTTCGAGTATCTCTGTTTTACAGCAAAGGTAATAATAATTTATTTTCAATAGTTTTTTCTATTCCTGTCCCCTCCACGGTAGTAATGTATTAAGTAAGGACACTAGCTATGGATCTGATTGGCTGATAACACTCTCTGGTAATATCAATAGTTACTGAGGTTTCAAAAATAGTTTCATTTGGGAAATAATTTATTTTGTGGGTTTGGTTTTAATACTTATTACACACCTAAGTTGTAGAGTGTTAATTTCCATTTATATTTTGTAGATAATGATTGTCTGACATCAGATTGTAATTTTGATTTTAAAGTAAAAAATCCGGTATCCAATAATACTTTTCAGGTACAAACATGTAGTGTCTTTTTTCTTCCTTGGGTTAAACCTATATTCTTTGAAATTAGTATTAACTTCAAACATAGCCTTTTGTTACTAGATAAACGTAAGAAGCAATTTGATATGCAGCAGAGTATTATTCATATTTCTAATTCAGCAATTATATTACTACTTCCCCAAAAGGGGATACATTATACCCCAAAAAGGAAGGAAATAAATAACAGATCATTTTATATACTCATGCTTTTACTTTTTTAGGTTGAGTATGTTTGAGCCAATGTGGTAATGTATAATATTTTTGCATACCATCAAGTTCTCAAGTAGCATGTTCCCATATTTAATAAAGAGAGTTAGTGGACATTAGCACACAAACTATTGATAGTAATGTAAACGCATTCACATTGTTATTTTTCTTTCAGGGTGCAATTCATGTTAATGACAGGGTTGTACCTCAGCCACCTCTTCAAAAACTGTCTGCAGAGAAGGTGCTTTCCTCATGGACTGTGGCTCTGTAAGCACCCTATTAACAAAGCTCAACACTGTTCCACCTGGCAAAAGAGAAACATAAAATCCAGCTCTGTGACCACAGAGCTGACCGTGAAAGTTGGATTAGGAATTGAGAGGCACTAAGTAACTGGCACAAGAGATTATTTAACTTTAGATTTTCCCAGATGCACATCATATTATCATAAATAAATAAATCTCATTAAAATGGAGTGCTCAGTGTCCTGGATTACATGTATGCAGAGAAGTGTTACAAAGTTAAATTCCTGTCTTCAAGGTTGCTACCATGTAGAGTCATAAAATTCACAGGAACTTCAAGATATTATAACTTGAGCGAGAAAGTCCTGTTAATGATTGGAGTTCAGGAGTTTAGGACAAGTCACAGGGCACGGGTAGTGATGAAGGGTGTCGGAGTGGTCAAGATGGCTTCGAGACAGAGCAGCCAAAGGATTTGCATCACCACACAAGGATGGCATGCAACAATTGAAAGAATGACTGGGAAATTGAGTCAATCATCTTGATTATTGTCCCGTCCCGCAGGACAGCAACTGGGGCCAAGCACCTAGAAGGAGAAATGAAAGGGACAGGAGACACAAAGATGGCAGCAAGACAAGTCCTGATCAAGCTGCGATTTTTATTTTTCAAGCACACACTTATATATCATAAAGGCTGGGTGTCGGGCGGGGGAAGGAGGGGCGTTTAGGAGGGCAAGACGTCGGGTGGGGGAAGGAGGGAGAGCTTATCTTGTAGCTGCAATGCTTGTGCAAGTAGGGGAAAGGTTACAAGGTCTTAAGGCATAAGGTCACACAAGGTTGGGCTATCAGTATTATCTGGTCTGGGCTGTCTAGTCCTGTCTTTCTACTAAGAGGCCACATGCTGCGTGCTCCCCGACATATCCCCCTTTCTTATCAATTAAACAGAAATGGCTGCCAGTTAGGCCAAATGTGATGAACGAGCAGTGCCTGTCTTAGGAATCAACCCGGAGCTCCAGCACCTCTTACCCATCATTGGATATCCTTGCCAGTCCCCAAGGACTCCTGTCTTAGGTGGGTGAGGTTCCGGGAAGGTGCCCGTCATTGGCTTACTGCTCGTTTTATTGATAGGCCTGGGGCCTTTCCTTGGCTCCCGACTGGGGCAGCAGCAGACCGAAGGGGAGAGTCAGTTGTTGGAGGGACCATGACCTCACCGGTAGGGGAGGAGGAAGTTATAATAAATTTTCTGGGAATCCTTAAAATTGAAGCAAAAACAATAGAAACCACTCTAGATCCTTGGATGCACATTCATAATTAACTAAGTACAGTTTCCATGTTACTTTTATGTTGTGCCTACTTTGAGATCGTATACTTTTCTTATGCATGATTAGTTTGAGAAAATTAGCTATTTATGGTTTTCTTTTTTTTTTTTTTTTTTTTTTGACAGGCAGAGTGGACAGTGAGAGAGAGACAGAGAAAGGTCTTCCTTTGCCGTTGGTTCACCCTCCAATGGCCGCCACGGCCGGCGCGCTGATCAGAAGGCAGGAGCCAGGTACTTATCCTGGTCTCCCATGGGGTGCAGGGCCCAAGCACTTGGGCCATCCTCCACTGCACCCCCTGGCCACAGCAGAGAGCTGGCCTGGAAGAGGGGCAACCGGGACAGAATCCGGCGCCCCAACCGGGACTAGAACCCGGTGTGCCGGCGCCGCAAGGCGGAGGATTAGCCTAGTGAGCCGCGGCGCCGGCCGGTTTTCTTAAATATTAGGGGATTTTTGATACTTTGTTGTCTTGTTTGTAGGTTTTTTACATTTGGATTGGAAAAGGCTGTGAAAATAACTTCATAGAGGATGTACTGGGGTGCCCTAATTTTGCATCAATTCCACAGAAAATGGTCAGTGGATTTTTATACTTTAACTTTTTGTTTGCATGTTTTAGTTTTTTTTTATTAACATAAGATTTATTTAAGGTTCACTATGTTATCTGTTTTAAAAGTGTGCAATTCAGTGTTTTTGTTTTGTTTTTCAGTATATTTATACAGTTACACAGTTCTCACCACTATATTGATTTCAGAACACTTCTATCACCCCAGAAAAGAAACCCCATATCTCCCAATCCTCCCTGATCCTTCTTGCCCTGGAAATACCTATCTACTTTCTATCTACAGATTTGCCCATTGGGCATGGCATATAAATGAAGGCGTACGATATGTGGCTATTTGTTTTGCTTCTTTCACTCCCCATGTCTCTCTCTCTCTCTCCCCCTCTTTTTTTTAAGATTTATTTTTTTTGATAGGCAGAGTTAGAGAGAGAGAGAGAGAGAGATCTTCCATCCACTGGTTCACTCCCCAAATGGCCCCAATGGCTGGAGCTGGGCTGATCCAAAGCCAGGATCCAGGAGCTTCTTCCAGGTCTTCCATATGGGTGCAGGGGCTCAAGCAATTGAGCCATCTTCTACTGCTTTCCTAGGCCATAGCAGAACGCTGGATTGAAAATGGAGCAGCTGGGTCCCGGAACTGGTGCCCGTATGGGATGCCGGCACTGCAGGCAGCAGCTTTACCTGCTATGCTGCTGTGCCAGCTCCATTTTCTTCCCTAATATTTATTTATTTGAAAGGTAGAGAGACAGAGATTTCCATCCTCTGATTCACTTCCAAAATGGCCACATCAGCCTGGGCTGGGACATGCCAAGCCAGGAACCAGGAACTCCATCTGGGTCTCCTACATTGCTGGCAGAGGCCCAAGTACTTGGGCCATCATATGCTGCCTTCCCAGACACATTAGCAGGAAGCTGGATTAAAAACCAAACAGCTCAGACTGGGACTGGCACTCTGGTATTAGATGCCAGCATTGCAAGCAGCAAATTAACCAACTGCACAACACTAGACTGTTTCCCATGTTATCAAAATTTGCTCATTTGGTGGCATATATAGGAGTACTTTAAAAAGCCCATGGAAAATGTAAAGTTATTTTTATAGCAAAAAAGTTTGAGATCCAATGCATACCAAGGTCTTCAAAAAGTTAATGAAAAGTTATGCATGGATCTCAAAGTTGCTTTGCACCAAAATAAATAAATCTTTCAGTTTTATTTTCCACACTTTTTTGAAGTACATGCATATTACTACTTTATTCATTTTTATGACCGAAAATAGTCTATTTTATGGGTATAACACATTTTGGTTATTGTTTATCCTTTTATGGACATGTTCACTTGTTTCTGCTTTGGGGCTGTTGTGACTATTGCTACCACATAATTTATATATATATATATATATATAAACTATATATATTATATATATATATATATATATTTTAAATTCTCTTGGCTTTGTAGCCAGTAGTGGAGTTGCTAGGGCATGAGGTAACCCTACGTTTAACTTTGTGATGAACCATAGAATTATTTTCCAACAACCATAGGGGTTTTTTTAAATTAGGAGTTTATTTTGTTGCAAAAAATTTGAAATCCATGTTTAGTTTACATTTTAAGACAAAGGCTTAATGTTCTTTTTTGTTGTTTTTAAGATTTACTTATTTATTTGAAAGTCAGAGTTACACAGAGAGAGGAGAGGCAGAGAGAGAGGTCTTCCATCTGCTGGTTCACTCCTCAATTGGCTACAACAGCTGGAGCTGCACTGATCCAAAGCCAGGAGCCAGGAGCTGCTTCTGGGTCTCCCACACAGGTGCAGGGGCCCAAGTGGAACAGCTGGGTCTCAAATCAGCACCCATATGGGATGCCGGACCCTCAGGCCAGGGCATTAACCCTCTGCACCACAGCACTGGCCCCAGGAAAAGAGGAAAGCAACCATAGTTTTTGACTTAGATTATTTTTCTTACAGCTTTTCCAGTTGCCTTTTACCAAATATGTGTTAACTAATACCAAAGAAATACGATTCTGAAAGCAGTTCTATATATTCAATTAATTGCAAAAAAAAAGGCCTACCTTATTCTTGTATATTGTAGACTTCCTCTTTTTCCCAAAGTTAATATAAATTTGATGTAATCTTAGTTGTTTGTTTCTAAGTTGGCAAGTGAATGCCAGAGTTCCTTATTAAGACTCAACAGATAAGAACAAGGAAACATTTGAAAAGGGAGGCTGGTGTCCACACAAAGGAAAACTATGAAAAATACATTCTACTAAATAAAATAAGAACTCTTATTGTAAAGTTGTAGTTAAATGTACTATGATATGGGTACAACATACAGGTCAGTCAGTAAAACTAAATAGGTTTCAGAAATGGATCCAGTTCATGAAAAACAAAATGTGGTAAAGACTGCATTTCAAGTCACTCCGGAGGAAATGGAATTAGAAAGAAAATGATGGGACTATGGATTAGACACTGGGAAGAAAACAAAGCTGGATATTTATCTTGTTCTGTACATCAAATAGCTTTCAAATGAATCAGGTGTTTAAACATGAAACAGAAAACCATTACAAGTCACTGCATTTATTACAATTATTTATATAATATAGAAACAGGTAAAGCTTTTGTAAGTTAGTAATTGAAAAGATTAATAAACCCAAGAGCATAGAAATAAAATGTTTATACTTGGTAAAAATAAAGCCCAAAGATAGACAACAAAATTATAAAATTATCTATAATCTATAAGACTGGAAAAGAGCTATCTTCTCTAATATAAAAAGTACATTACAAATCTCTAAGAGAGACACCCTGTGATCCCTAAGGGAAAAAGAAGAAAAATGGACATAGGATTTTGAACATGCAATCCATAGGAGAACATAATATTGGCCATGTGGAATAAGATCAGCCTCACTCATAGTTCAGGAAAACGAGATAAAATAACCACAGAGCATTTCTTTCATATACCAGATTGACAGAGTTTAAAATTTGGTGATGGGCAATCACATAGAGGGTACAAGGCATCAGTCACTGTAGTGTCCATTTATGCAAACCTTTTGGAAGTGCCATTTAACAGTGTTAAAATTCAAAATCAAATGCTGTGACACAGTTAATTATTTTACTCCTAGCAATGTATCCCATAGCTGTTTTCATAGATGTATGCATGGATGCCCATAGAATTACAGTAGTAATATTTATACACATAAGAAAAAGATTACAGTCTGACATGATACAAAAGTGCATAGTATGATCCCATTTGTATGGGGCTTCTTCAGAAAGTTCATAGAAAATGAGATGCACAGGTAAATGTGTTTTGGAGTAAAACAATTTGAAATTCCTGCAGGTTTTTTTCATAGTAGGCATTTTCATGAACTTTTTTTGAAGCTCTCTCATATTCATGGATTTCAAAACTTTTCACCAGAATAAACTATTATTTTGATTCCATTCTTCCACAAAATATTTGAAGTACACCTTGAGGGAGGAAAAGATTTATTTATTTGAAAGGCAAAGTGACAGAAAGAGGGGAACAGGGGTTGGGGGAAACAGATAGAGAGATCTTCCATTTGTTGGCTCATTCCCAAATGGCTTCAGTAGCCGGTACTGGACCAAGCCAAAGCTAAGAGTCTCTGACTCCATCTGGGTCTCCCTTTGGGTAGCTGAGACTCAAGCACTTGGACCATCTGCAGTTGCCTTCTCAGGCACATTACCAGGAAGCTGGATTGGAAGAGGAGCAGGTGATACTAGAATGCTGATAATGGTGTGGTGGCCTTAACTGCTGCACTACAATGCTTTTCTGGTCGCTGGTTTTTTTTTTTTTTCCCAAAAAATATGCTTGTGTATGTGATTTTTAAATGTTTATTTAAAAAAAAATAGTTGAAAAAATTCCCATGAAAATAGACATTTTTTCCTATTGACAAGGATTACAAATACAATTAATCTATCTTTTTAATTTTAATTTTATTTACATTCCAATGAGTATTTTGCAACTATATGCAAGGCTATTTTAGAAAGACCTAAAAGTCTATTCTTTTCATAAGTACATAAAAATTACAAGGTTTTTTTTTCTTTTTCAAGGTCAGCTTATCAGTAAGCTAATTAAATTCAAAGTATGCTCATATAAACAGATTTGTCAACAATTTAAATTTCATTTATTTGATTGCTACTCTTGGGGCTGGGGAATAGAGTGCTGCAGTTGGTGGTACTGAACACTAAGATTTAGTTTTAATACTGGTGATGAGTACTGAATAGGAAATAGTTTCCTAATTATATTTTTTCCCAGACACATCTTCCAGAACTAGATACACTTTCATCAGAAAGAACCAGATCTTTTATAACTTGGCTAAGAGACAACAGACCACTAAGCCCAGTCCTTCATGTGGTGAAGTAAGAACTTATGTGACTGAATTATGAAGTTATCTCTTCCTGTGCAATATATGTGAAATAACATGTCTTTTAAGCATACTTTAAATAATGTCAAAATAGATTCTGGTGGTAGAATATTGCTCCTTGATTAATATCTCCTGTGTTCCATTTTCTATAGTCTCCACTTATTAACAGCTTTGTTAATGAATAATTATTCTTTTTAACAACATGCACTTTTAGACAAATGTCCTTTTCTGTTTTTTTTGTTTTTGTTTTTTGTGTTTTGACAGGCAGAGTGGATAGTGAGAGAGAGACAGAGAGAAAGGTCTTCCTTTGCCGTTGGTTCACCCTCCAATGGTCACTGCGGCCAGTGCACTGTGCTGATCCAAAGGCAGGAGCCAGGTGCTTATCCTGGTCTCCCATGGGGTGCAGGGGCCATCCTCCACTGCACTCCCAGGCCACAGCAGAGAGCTGGCCTGGAAGAGGGGCAACCGGGACAGAATCCGGTGCCCTGACTGGGACTAGAACCCGGTGTGCTGGCGCCGCTAGGCAGAGGATTAGCCTGTTGAGCTGCAGCGCCGGCCTACAAATGTCCTTTTCTGTTTCAGAGATGAGAGTCCTGCCAAAACAGAATTTTTTCTGCATTTGATTGAAGACCAGACAGAAGCTGCATTCTCTTATTATGAATTTTTGCTTCACGTTCAGCAGCAAATTTGTAAGTGAAGTAGAATAAAATGGAATAAGAAAAAGGTTTATTATCTAGGTAAAGCATTATCTGTTGACGAAGCACACAAGAAATGTGGAATGCAGGAGCTTGCTGTTACATGATTCAATGCACTGTACTCTGAGGTCGTGGCAAAAGATAAAGGCGAAAAGAGAACTTGACAGATTTTCTTCAGCCTGAAATAATGGTAGGGATGACGCCGTTTTGCCCAGTATGTTTTGAATTGGTTTCTATACATTTCCAGTAGTGCAGCAGTATAGTGTTCTCTTTGTTGCCAACGGGCAAATTGATACAACTGTGTGGAATGATATGTCCTAATATAAAATTAGATAAATTCTTTTGTCTTACTATTAATATAACATTTTTGGCGTGAATTCTGACAAAAGATTCCAAAAAGGCAGCAGGTACCATGTTATTTGTTTATATGAATTACTTTTTAACAAGGAATGATTCCTATTCATTAAATAAATTCAGCATTTTCCCTGTAAAAACAATAGTTTCAGAACACGAACTATAGAGAAACATATGTATATGTATAATGTACATAACTGTTACATTTGTAAAGAAAGTATAAAAATGTAGCTACAGAACAGGAATTGCTTATACTGCTCTGGGTTGTTGGATGACATCTCTTTTTGTCACGGTTAGAGAATGTGATTGACCAATGCATATTCTGCATTGAGTCCACAAATGGGACACAAACTCTTTGTAATTCTGCTAAATCTTTTATGAGGATTTATTTATGATCAGCCTATTAATTAAAAATATTTTGCTTGACAATATGGTTTGGTTGTTTTTTTAATTTTTGGTGTGGACTTTTTTTTTTGTATATAGTATATACTGAATTTACTTCTTGGGGGAGTGTAGTGATACTGCACTTTACTTAGTTATATAGATGAATCAATAAATTTTCATTAGTTTGTGGATATTACCAAGTACTTAATTCCATTTGTATCCTAAAGTGATGCTTTCAAAGTACATTAGTAAATATAACCTTGTTTTCATTTTTAAAAAAGTATATTTATAAGAAAATTTTATAAGCATATCAACTATGCTTTTTATTTAATTGACTTCAAGATTACCATCTTGAACTTTGCGAATGATTTTGTTGTGGTCCAAAAATCACTCATTCAATAATAGCATATTTCCCCAAAAACTGTATATCCACTAGAATATAAAAACAAATATTCATCCACATTATATAGAGAGAGCAAAAAAGCTCAAACAATATTATACTGAATGAGGCCGGCGCCGCAGCTCACTAGGCTAATCTCCACCTTGCGGCGCCGGCACACTGGGTTCTAGTCCCGGTCAGGGCGCCGGATTCTGGCCCGGTTGCCCCTCTTCCAGGCCAGCTCTCTGCTGTGGCCAGGGAGTGCAGTGGAGGATGGCCCAAGTGCTTGGGCCCTGCACCCCATGGGAGACCAGGATAAGTACCTGGCTCTTGCCATCGGATCAGCGCGGGGCACCGGCCGTGGCGGCCATTGGAGAGTGAACCAACGGCAAAGGAAGACCTTTCTCTCTGTCTCTCTCTCACTGTCCACTCTGCCTGTCAAAAAAAAAAAAATATTATACTGAATGAAAAATAAAATAATGTTTTAAAATAAAAAAAGGAATATAAAATGTAATTTTATGTTCTATACTGCAAAAGTCCCAATTAATGAACTTTGAAAGGAAAAGGACTCTTTGTGCGGTAAATAATTTTTACTGATTTTGTGAATCTATTTTCTTGGGATAAAGAAAAGTACTATCTCACACACCCTGATGGAAATGAGAATGACTCATCTTAAGTGACATTACTTACTATATAGAATCATGTCATCTGCCAATAGTGATAGTTTGACTTCCTCCCTCCCAATTTGTATCTAACATTGAAAAAGGAGAGAAAAAGTACCAACGTGATAACGTGCACGTAGAAAATGCCAAGAGGGACCTCAGACGCTACCTTTATGTATTCTATCGTGCTCTGTAGAAGACACAGTTTGTCCTAGTTCAAGCATGCTCCATCCGTTAAATGCAGGCCTAGACTGTGGAGGGCGGAGGTTGGGGAGCAGACCTGTGTTCAGTGGAGAACTCTGTAGATCACAGGTGTCTCAAATCCCTGTGCGAGTGGGTACCCAAGTGTCTGAATGAATAAACTACATTGATTTCCTCATACGTAAGTCATAGATAATACCACACGGAACGTTTCTAAGGCAGAAGAGAAAGAATGGGTACCAACACCTTTTCTAAGAGTGAGTTAAATTTCTTTTCAAATTCTGTGTTAATAGGGTAGGGTAATGCATAGAATATAAAATTCTAAATGAATTGTAGTAGTTGGCCTTGATGTAGTATTTTATTTATAGCTATGTCTTCCTTTTCTTAATTTTTTATTTTTTGTGAAGATCTTATTTATTTGAAATTCAGAGAGAGAGAGAGAGAGAGAATATCAAGATCGAGAGGTCTTCCATCTGCTGGTCTGCTACCCAATTGGCTGCAATGGGCGGGCCTGAGCAGATCTGAAGCCAGGAGCCAGGAGCCTCCCCCGGGGTCTCCTGCATGGGTGCAGGGGCCCAACCTTGGCCCCTCTTCTACTGCATTCCCAGACCACAGCAGAGAGCTGCACTGGAAGTGGAGCAGCTGGGACTCGAACCGGTGCCCATGTGGCTGCAGGTGCTGCGGGCAGTGGCTTTACCCACTCCCCCACAGCACCGGCCCCTCCTGGGAGCCTTTCCCCGTGGGATCCAGCTGTCTGCTGACATGCCTGGGAAAGCAGAGGGAGACGGCCCAAGGACTCAGGCCCCTGAACCCACAGTAGAGCACCGGATACAGTCCCCGGCTTCTGCTTCGGCCTGGGCCAGCCCCGGCCTTAGTAGCCACCTGGGAGCAAGAGGCAAGAGTGCTCGCGATGCCCGGTGCTCTGCTTCTCTCCCCAAGTGGCTTCAACGGCCAGCGCCGGGCCAGGCAGAAGCCAGGAGGCTTGGCCTCCATTCAGGGTGCCCAGGAGGCAAGGAGGTGTGGTAGTCTTTCGGAAGCTGCCGAAGAAGTGGACCGTGCCTAAAAATTTCCAGAAGGGCAAGGTAACTGATGCGGCTGTCTCGGACTGCAGTGTCTCTGATTCAGGCCTGACCCCAGAGGCACTGGGTCTCACTCAGGCTCCACCAGCAGTATCAAGGACGGCTCCTCAAGGCTTGAACAGGCTTTTGGGCAGGAACAGATGAGAAGCAGACTTCCATCGAGGATGGCTGAGCAGGAGATGTACCTACGGGTACAATTCCTGGTCACAGTGCAGGGCGCAAATTCACTCCCCACAGGCGGCCACCATGAGACGGATCTGCATGCTGCTACGTCCAGTGTGGGGCACCCAAGAGCCGATTCCAGTCCCGCTACTCCAGGTTGGGAACCAGGGAGGCAGCCGCTGATGGCCCAGGTACTTGGATCCTGCCTCCTTCCCTCCTGGGAGTCCTGAATGGAGTCCTTGCCTCCTGGCTGTGGGGGAGCGGGAAAAGCCACCGCCTGCAGCGCCCGCGTCCACATGGGCGCCGGTTCGAGTCCTGGCTGCTCCACTTCCAGTGCCGCTCTCTGCTGTGGTCTGGGAAGGCAGCAGAAGAGGGCCCAAATCCTTGGGCCCCTGCACCCATGCAGGACACCCCAGGGAGGCTCCTATAGAAGGCCAACTGAGTGAATGACGTAGTTATTAAATGATAGTTTGGTCTTGATGGTAATTGTGTCAACAAAGAATCATCAATAGCAGATAGAGCTGGGGATAACTGATGGAGAATTGTGTGCATACGGTTTTATACTAATATCCACACGAGCAGCTTATTGAGTATGAAATCACACCCTACACAGTTAGGAAGCAAAGATCTAACTGAAAAGCTTAGTACTTACCTCACAGAACAAGAAATTTTGTTGAAATTGCCCCCCATCAAGGCTAAAACCCTTCAGGACCATGCGATGGCAAACAGCAGGTGAATTTATGATGTTTCGAGCCAAAAACATCCACCTCCCAAAACCATCACTTTTGGAACACACAGTGTAAGAAAAGGCATGGAGCTGCCCTGCATCTCAGAAAGACAACACCCTTGCTTGGCTGACCAGTCACACCGCTTCCTGGATGACCCATCAACTCCAGCGTCTGATTCCCGCCCCTCCTTCCCTTCTTATAAATGTCACTTGCAAAAGGTGCTGTTGGAGTCAGATGGCAGCATTGTTCCTGGCTCCCCACCAGCTGTTTCATGATGAATTGGCTGCCCACAAAAGATCACGGCCTTCGTGTGTGGCTTTCAGATGCACACAGGCAGCCAAAGCACATTCATTTGATAAAAGTTAGAAAAGCAAAAATAATCACTTGACCATGAAGAAATTGGCAAAAACCACCATGTGGCCAAGTGTAACATCACGGTAATGAGACAAACTGAAAACACAAGCCCTGGTATGGTGTGGTGTGAAGAAAACTTCTCTCAAATTCCTGACAGAAGCATTTAACTTTGGTGTAATTAGGACAAACCCTGAGACAGACATATATTTCAAATATTTGTGAAGCAACTTGCCTGTGT